ACTTCCAATAAGGAAGGAGCTCCTTTGCCTATATCTCAGGATACTCTCCTAGAGTTACCATGCCCAAAAATTCCCCCGCCCCATTACCCGTGGAAGGAGTTACCCTCTCCCCCCGACCAATAACCATCCCGCTCCTTCCCCTGCTACCGTGCCCCTCCCTCCTAGGCTGCCCTCCTTAAAGCCTCACCCACCTTTGTCCTCATTTCCGGTTAATGTTGGCCCCGATGCAGCACAGCGTCCATGGCTGTCCACCCTACTTGCTGACCTCTTTCTTACCGCCCCATTACCCGTGGAAGGAGTTACCCTCTCCCCCCGACCAATAACCATCCCGCTCCTTCCCCTGCTACCGTGCCCCTCCCTCCTAGGCTGCCCTCCTTAAAGCCTCACCCACCTTTGTCCTCATTTCCGGTTAATGTTGGCCCCGATGCAGCACAGCGTCCATGGCTGTCCACCCTACTTGCTGACCTCTTTCTTATCCACAAGGCAGCTGAGCAATTGGGCCCTGATTCCCCATATTTCGAAAAGGTTCTTCGCCAGTGGTCCTTACAGTTTACAAACCCACTATTGGTATAGCTTACTAAAGGCAGTCTTAGAACGCTCAGTCTTTCTAAACTGGTGTGCAGCCTACGACGATCAGGCTGAAAACCAGGCACGCCTAAATCTCCAATATGGCCTCAACATTACGTTGGACATGCTCACGGGACATGGACAATATACTGATCCCATCTCCCAGTCTACTATTGGCCTCCATGCCTATTTTCAACAAGTTTCTGACTTGGCCTTTAAGGCCCTTAAATGTTGCCCCCCCCCATGACCCACAAGTCTTTTTCTGTAATTTGATTCAACAGTCAGGGGAGTCCTTCACAGACATCCTTACCCATGTCACCGAGGCAGTAGAGTGGAGGGTGGAGTCTGGACTGCCCAAGAGGTGCTTATCAAACAATTAACTTGGAAGGGACTAAACATCCCTACTCTTAATGCTATCGCGCCTGTCCCCAATGATAACACTCACAAATAGGTACTCGCTACTAGAGACTTAGACCCTAGGGCAGCCCCTATTGAGGCTTTGACTGCCTCCTTGGAGACTCTTTTGTCGCCAAGGAAAACCTGCCCACTTTGGCGCACAGGAAGGCTACTGGAACTGTGGGGGGCTTGGCCACTTTTGTAGCCACTGCCCAAGAGGTACAGCCCACCCCAAGACTCGGTGCCCCAACTGCAAAAGAGGGTTCCATTGGGCTAAAGACTGTAGGTCACAGCCTCAACCAGACTTGGCTCCTTTAAACTCCACCCAGGGAGCCCCTCAGCCCCGCCCACAAGAGGGGAAACGAGATATTATGGACTCTCCCAATCCTCAACCACTCCCCACTAACGATCCTGTTCCTAGATGGAACTGCCATAAAGGACCTAGTAGACACAGGGGCTGATGTCACCATTGTATCAGAAACTGAATCCCTTAAATT